CACCCCTGTAATCCTAGCTACTCAGGAGGCTGATATCTGAGGCTCGCAGTTCAAAGCCAGCCCAGGCAGGAACGTCTGTGAGTCTCATCTCCAATTAGCCACCAGAAAACTGGAAGTGGTGCTATGGCTCAAGTGGTAGAGCACTCGCCTTGAGCTGAAGAGCTCAGGTACAGCGCCCAGGCCCAGAGTTTAAGACTCATGACTGACAAAAAATACCTAGAGTGGAGGTATAGCTCAAGTGATAGCACTCTACCCTTGAGCTAAAAGGCCAAGCAAGAACTCAAGAACCTGAGTTCAAGTCCCAGTATCAGCATATGCATGAATGTGTATGCACAGGGGTGGACACCCACACATCCACACAGGAAAATAAATCATAGAATCATATCCTTGTTAGATAGGTAAGAAATTGAAATTCTAATAAAGTAGGTATTTATCGTAACAAACAGGTCCAATATACAAGGGGATACCAAATTATGGAGAAATGAAATTCTGTTCTGTTTTAAATTATATGCCAGTACTTCATTTTTTTTTTCACTCAGAAAGTTTTTACTGGAGATTGGTTATGTTCAGTAACTAAAACCCAAGAAATGGACTAAAATCTAAAGGTGAATATAAACAGATGATATTAACAATAATGAAGTCAACAGTGGCCTAAATATAGCAGATGTTAATTAAGCAACCTTTTAAAGAATTATAAAATGTGAAGTGTAGTACACACTTCATGCAGAGTAACATGTTTTGAGGAAATCCAAAAGTGTACCATACAAGAAAATAGCTAAGATACCCTCCTTCAGAGGGAAGAGCTGAATGGAAAACTGAATGATGAGAAGAGAATGTGGATGAGAAAGGGGAAACACATCTTTAGATAGAAGGAATTATACTCAGGAGGCTGAGATCTGAGGATTGCAGTTCAAAGCCAGCTCAGGCAGGAAAGTCTGTGAGACTCTTATCTCCAATAAACCACTAGAAAACCGGAAGTGGTGCTGTGGCTCAAGTGGTAGAGTGCTCGCCTTGATCTGAAGAGCTGAGGGACAGCACCCACGTCCAGTGTTCAAGCCCCACAACCAACAAAAAAAGAAAAATAAAAGAAAGAAGGAATTGTATACACAAATGCCATATTGAGAGAAAACACAGTATATCTTCTTTAAGGTTTGAGTTGCCAGTGAGTCTGGTCTGCAGAGAGCCCCAAGGCTTTTGGCATTATGAGAGCTAGCTATGCAGCACTTCAGAAATGTCTGAGGACATTGTTCTTCTAGACACTGAAGGGAAAGTCACAGGACAAATGAACCGCTGCTCCAAAAGAAATTGTCTTCCTGCTTCTATGTGCTCTTAGCTTGAAGTTTCTCATTAATTTTTTTTTTTTAATTTATTTTGTGTGCCAGTGCTGGGGCTTGATCTCAGGGTCTTCACACCCTCACTTAGATTTTTTGTTGTCCAAAGCAGAAACACTACCACTTGAGCCACACCTCTAATTTTGATTTTTGCTGATTAGTAAGAGATGAAGGTCTCAGATTTGTCTGTCCAGGCTGACTTCTAATCCAGATCCTCAGCCTTTTTTCTGTATAGCTAGGATTACAGGTATGAGTCACCAGTGTCCACCCTTAAAAAACAACAATAACAGAACACAGAAGGTTATATGGAAGGTCTAGCTGCTGACAAGACTAATTTACATGTTTCTTGTCCATCTTTTCAGAATCAAGTACAGACTGAGAGACAAGGGATATCAAGAGGAATTATGCAGCTTAGAAGAATCCTGGACTATGAGGAGCAGAGGGAGCTGCAAAGATTGGAGAAAGAAGAAAAGGAGATGTTGGATAACTTGGCACAGTCTGAGGATGAGCTGTCTCGGCAGAGCCAATTGGTGAAAGAGCTCATCTCAGATCTGGAGCGCTGGAGTCAGTGGTCAACAACAGAGCTGCTGCAGGTAGGATAATCTGATGTTCTTACTTTTCTTTTAATAAATAATTATGTTCTGTGTTGATAGAAATCATCAAAATAACCATTCTGGCCTTTTATTTTTTCTTCATCGTCATGGAAACATTGCGTTTTCCACCATTAAGTATGATGTTAGCTGCATCTGATGTAGTGGGGCTTGAACTCAGGCCTCAGGCTTGCTAGGCAAGTGCTTTACCGCTGAGTCGTGGCCCCCAGCCAACTTTTACCATTATAGTGCCTGTAATTTTGTCCAGTGCTCTTGGAATCCATTGAGATTTTCATGTAAGTTATTTTTTATTTTGTGCCAGAACTGGGACTTGAACTCAGGACCCTAGGACCTTACTTGGCTTTTTAGCTTAAGACTGATGCTCTATCACTTGAGCCACAACTCTACTTCCAGCTTTTCATTGCTTGTTTCCAATTACTGATATCTTCATGTTTCTTGGTGTGATGAGTCTAGCTTATTAATTTTGTTGACATATTAAAATAACTCACTTCTGATATCTCTGGGTTTTTCTCAACCTGCCTATCCATATTTCAATCCTTGAGACTCTCCAGCCCCTATGACCCTGTGCCCACTGGCCTTCTGAATTTTCTCATCGTTTTGTAGCGTCTCACAGCACTCTTTGTTTTGAGGGCCATCTCCTGTGTCTCAGAATATCACTACCTCGTCCTTGTCTTCCCTTCTGTACTGGAGAGCATCCCCCATCTTTGAGCTGCAATGCATTATCTTATGTACCTAGAGAGTGTTTTCCACATTCTGAAAGCAAAATATCGAATGCCTTCTAAAGAAGTAACAGTATTGATGTAACATCTTTGTCCTCCCATTTCTCTACATTTTCCTGGACTGAAACTATCCTTAAGAATCACTGCACCACCACCACCACCACCACCATCAACAAGCAGAGTCAGCCAGGCACCAGTGTCTCATGCCTGTAATCCTAACTACTGAGGAGGCTGAGATCTCAGGATCATGGTTTGAAATCAATCCAGGCAGGAAAGTTCATGAGACTGCTTATCTCCAATTAGACTACCGGAAAACTGGAAATGGCACTGTGGTAGAGTGTGAGCCTTGAGTACAAAAGCTCAGAGACAGCCCCTGAGCCCTGAGTTCAAATACCATGATTGACCAAGAAATAAAGAATAGAAAATAAGCAACTAGAGTCATTGAGTAATCAAAGAAGGGGCAGGGGAAATATCAACAATAGATATATTTAGTAAAGAACTACATCTACAATGAGTTCAAATCCTGTCTTTTTTAAATATATGCTATATAATGATGAATTCTAAGGGTTATTTTTCTTCTCTGAAATACAAATTTGGACTTAAAAATGTCACCAAATTTAAATATCACTGTGTGGAACTCAGCGTCATAAAAATAAAATGCCAACTTAAGTGAGCCAATGGGTCACGTGTGTAATCTTAGCTACTCAGGTGGCTGAGACCTGGTGGATTTTATTCAAAGACAGAAAAGTCCCCAAGACTTTATGTCCCATTTATCACCAAAAACGCTAGGTAGAGGTAAGGTCAATTAGTGAAGTTCCAGGTATAAGCAAGAAAGTTGAGTAAGAAAAACTCAGTGCACAGGGCTCTGAGTTCAAGCCCTAGTACTGGCACAACGTGGGCAGGGGCACAGGCCCACCATCTCCCCCCACACTCACTCACACTCACACTTACACACACATGTACACACATGTGTGTACACAATGTAATGGCAAATCAAGGTCACAACTAGCTACATCTCATTTTCAATGTGATATCATGTCAATGGTGTGTACCATGCATAGTTAAGACTGAACAGTGGGCTGGGCAGGTGGCTTAGTGGTAGAGTGTTTGCCTCGCATGCATGAGGCCCTGGGTTCGATTCTTCAGCACCACATAAGTAGAAAAAGCCAGAAGTGGTGCTGTGGCTCAAGTGGTAGAGTGCTAGCCTTGAGCTGAAGAGCTGAGGGACCGTGCCCAGGCCCAGAGTTCAGGCCCTACAACCAGCCAAAAAAAAAAAAGAAGACTACACACTGAAACCAGATAACATGTCATTATCATACTGATGTTCTTATAATTAGGTTAACAAAACTTAATTAAATTTAGTTTCCTAGAGCACATGGCAAGAAATGATGAATCACAGGATTAATTTTTATTTTTAATATAAAAGAACAATATTAATATTCTTTAAGAATCACTATCATTTATTGTTTAAAGAAACAAGGCTTGCTTAAAATATTACAAATAATCTTCAATCTATATTCTTCAATTCTATTCCATAAAGCAAATAGGGAAATGTTCTTGAAAGTGAACTGGTATATTTTCTTGACATTCACTTCTGTAGCAATGAGAATCCAAAAATTAATACAAAAGATATTGAGTTATTGATTATAGATGAGAAACAGTAAGTTATTAAAAATTTTCTGTCCATAACACTACATGCATTACATCTCTTCATCATTAGTACTATTATTTTTAATTTTTTATTCAGTAGTATTTTTTTTTGTCAGTCTTGGGGCTTGAACTCTGGGCCTACGCGCTGTCCATACACTCTTCAGCTCAAGGCTAGCACTCTACTACTTGAGCCACAGCATCACTTCCAGTTTTCTGGTGGCTAATTGGAGATAAGAATCTCATGGACTTTCCTGCCTGGCTGGTTTTGAACTGTGATCCTCAGATCTCAGCCTCCTAAGTAGCTAGGATTGCAGGCGTGAGCCACCAGCTCCTGACATAAGTGGTAATTTGAATACAATAAATTTTAGTTTACATGATAGAGACTAATAAGTGGAAACACCAGGATTTTCACCAAAACAATTCTAATTATCAAGAGAAAAATAAATCACATGTTTCCAAAGTAGAACAGTGTGGTACTTGGAACCTAAATAGAATACTTCTTGAGTGAAGTCATTTCCAGATTCTCATTTTGCACAACCAGTTTTCTGAACACTGATACAACCCCTGGTTTTCAGTAATGAATTGAGCACATATTTATTTAGAGTTAAATAGATGTTTAATACAGAGCTTACTTTCTTATACAGTTCTAACGTGTAAGTTAAATTCTTTATATGAAACTTGCCAGAAAATACACACAACGTTTCAATATTTTAATCCAGTTTACACTGCAAATACATTTGAGAGGGGACATGAGTTAAAACCACAATGTACACAGAATCTGCTTCTTGGTCTAGATCATTTGTGACACTTTTCTCCTTGATGAATAAAGAGTCTGAGAGTAAAGCTAAGACACTGCTAAGGGCTCCTTCTTTAAGGGAGTGATTCCTATATATATATAGTCTTTCAATGACACAAAAACCTTGTTGAAACAACTCTGCATTTTCTGTCAGTGGCAGAGAGAAAAGGGCTGTGATATTAGGAATGATGAAATAAGATTATCTCCCAAACAAACACAGTATCAGGAAGAATCTGGCCCATAGAAAGGTGTACATCCTAGTTATAAGTGAAGGACATTGAATCAGAAAGACTCAAGTAAGGAGGAGAAGATGTTTCAAGAAGCACAGAGGGGATCAGATGCATGGAACACACACCAGGGCCAGGGACAGTGCGCAGAAGTGTCAAAGGGGGTAAAAAAGCTTAAGAGCTGGATCAGCATAGAATCATTGGCTCTGGACATTGTAAAGGATTGAAATATGGATAGACTTCATGGGGAAAGGCACAGTTAGTGAACTTGTAGATGAGAAATGCATTGTATGTAGTGCTGTAAAATGAGACTGAGCCAGCCTGGTAGTCTACAAAAACCCCAACACGTTCAAGAGCGACAGGCAAAGACAGGGGCAAGGACAAAGGAGAATGGGTGGTAGGATCCTCCCCGAAAGCTTTATACTCAGATTTATTCTCCATCCCTATAATCCAGTAACCAAGTTTTGGTCGAGGAACTTCATAAATAGTATGATTATGACTTGGCCTGCGTCTGAAGTGTCTTCCATCACTTAACCCCAGGTGCCAGGATGTTTTCTTAGACACATCTACCTCCCAGTAGTGCTTCCCTGATGTGATTACGAGGGCACCTAGGACTCCTAGGAGAGGTGAATTATTTCCTGGCAATTGAAATGCATTTTGTGAAAAACCTAAAACTTTCTTATGAACTTTCTGAGCGGGGAAAAAATGATCTCTAGAAATTGAAAAAGGTTCTTCTGTGAAAAAGACAGGAGTATACTGGTATCTTATTTTTCTTTGATCCTTAGAAATGTCAATTCTTGAATCGTCATTTGTAGTCACTCTCAGGTGCACTATAGGAAAAAAAATGACATGTTTGGGTAAGGAATACAAGAGAACTCTTTTTGTGAGGTTATAAGCCAAATTACAACAAGAATAGGAGAGATAACTGGAAGGAACTTGAAATCATAAGGAAATAAGGCAAGGTAAGACACTGCAAAAGCATCATTTCTATTTGTGTGTAGCAAAGAGAAACCTAAGTCTGAAAACATAAGACACAGTAACAAAACTAATTCTGAAAGATGGCAAGAAACTTTGATTGCTTCTTACCCCAGTATTGGCGGGCATCAGTCAGCTCTGAAATGACAACAAGAGATCACATCACCACACAGTGTCCACCCTTCACATCTAGAAGCCGCATCTAGAAATGACACCGGCCCCCACTTAGCCCTCACCACAGCTACACCCCCCACAACCACGCCTAACTTCACCTTGAAACGCTTGCAGCACTCCTCTCAGACCAGTTATTGGGAACACTGTCTGTTCTTTCTTGGGGAAAGGTATTGGCTTCTTCATTGTCAAGAGTTCACATCTAGGGATGAGAAGAATGAACCTCTATACCTCAGACTTAATAACCTTCATCACCACCAAACTACCTATTGTTTCACCCTACTGACCATTATATGTACCTACAGTGGGGTCCTGAGAAAAGAAAGAATAGCCTGTAGCTGAAGTCATAATATATACATCTACCTTCTCATTGACTCTCTGGGTGACTTAGAGAAGACTTTAAACTTTCTGAAGCAGTTTCCCCTGTCTAAAATGAAACAGTCAACTTTTCCATCTCAACCTCTCAAAATTCCCAAGAAATGATGAGCTCATGGGTTTTAAATCACAAGAAAATAAGTATATAGGAAAGACTGCCACTTATCTGGGTTCCTAGAAAAAATGGTTACAAAATAAGTTGGCAAAACATGGTTCCTCCTGGATATTCAAGGCATAGAAAGTGTAAAAATCGTATCTGGAGAAACCCAAGAATTTCATAGCCAGTTGACTATTACAGAGGCTCTCAGAGAACTGCTTAGCCTTCAGATTCTCTAGAGGGAAATTACAAACATTGGTGAAAAGGAGGCTTTATGAACACCAAAATAATGCTGCTCTGAAGTCCATGAGTGAGGAGATATGGTGATATTGACAGGCGAAGGGAGCTGCCAGGTGGCTGTGCATCCTTAGACACAAGGATGCCACTTCCTTCACTTTTGTAAAGTCTGTGAGCCACATGGACCATTTGCACCAGAGCCCAAACCCTGTTCTCACAGGTCAAGATGACTATTTTCGAAAACATATATGCAACTGGTTACTTATTTTCAGGAGAAACATGGAAACACATAGGAAGTTTGTTAGTGGAGAATTCTGGGTCTAAAGCAGATAAAGAAGATTTGTTCTATTTAAAATCAATCAAGCACCTATGAGATCCAGGACCAGAGCTGATACAGGCACATTGGGTGAATAAATGGTTATGCCACAAGGGGTCTGCTACCGTATCATCTCATCCCCAATATCACAATATCTTTCCTGATCCATATTGTAAGTTTTCATAGCCTTCACCCCTACCAGAGGATCTAATTTATTCCCAATAGTCTAATACATCCAAACTCTGATTTATGTCCAGAACTTGAGACAATACTACAGGCATATATTCCTGATCTAGGAGATGTTATACTATAATTGTGCACTAGCTAGATCTCCAAATCTTGTCTTACCAAACAAAGGACCCTCCTAGTATCCCACACATACCTTCTCATGATGGTATTCACATCCTAGGGAGAAAGGAGACAACATAATTTAAGAATAGGCTGTACTTTCTTTTAAAGTTTCATCAGAGCCTCACCAAACTCTGATGTGGTGAGGTTAGAAATGACCCAAGTATGAAAGACAAAAAAATGGAAAGAGAAGACTAAATACAGTCATTCCATATCTCCTTAGGAGGTGATTTAAACAATGCATGGGTCTTTCACTTTTTTTTTTTTTTTTTTGGGTCCGGTTGTGAACTCCGGGCCTGGGCGCTGTCCCTCAGCTCTTCAGCTCAAGGCTAGCCCTCTACCACTTGAGCCACAGCGCCACTTCCGGCTTTTTTTTTTTTCTTTTTGCTTATGTGGTGCTGAGGAATCAAACCCAGGGCCTCAGGCATGCAAGGCAAGCACTCTACCACTGAGCCACCTTCCTAGCCCCTCACTTTTTTTTAAACAGATAATATAAACTAACAGTATTTGCCAAGTATTAGGTGGCATCTGAAGTGACTCCAGAAAGAGGTACTACAAAGCCTGAAGGACTTCATAGCCCTTATACACTACATGTGTACATGCATGCGCGTGTGCATGCATGCATGTGTGCATGCACACACACACACACACACACACACACACACACATGCCACTGCAAAAAGAAAAGAGAAGATTTTCTGAATCTAGATATAGGGAACTATTCAAAGACTTACCTGCAGCATCTCCATGGTGGACCCTTCTAACAGACGCTCCACATCTGAGATGAGCTTAGTCACATGCGTGCTCTGCTGGGTAAGCTCATTTTCTGACACTGCCAGGGTTTGCAAACCATCTTCCTCCTCCTTTTTCAGCTTTTGGAGTTCTTTCTCCTCCTCAGTGTCCAGGATACCTCTCCACTGTGTAAAATCAGCCTGAACATTTTGTATCTTGCCCTGTATTTGAGTCTTCAAAATCAAAAGAGGTGGGGGGGTGAGAGAGGGTGAGAGAGAGAGAAGCATTCAGAGTATCAGGTAGGGCTGGAGATTGCTTGGGGAGGTCTCATAGAGAAGGGAAGCTCAAGGAGAGAGTAATTCTTAGGGAACCATGTTTTCCCTTCATGACATTTCAAACCAAGGACCTTAAGTCAGCATGATCAAAGTCTAGCCTGAGACAAAACTGGATGAATGCGTGTGACATAGCTTTAACACAAGATTCACGGTTATCTCTGTCACTCCTCAACCCATTCCTGAACTCTCCTTCAGAATTCAAACACTGAGGACAGAAGTATAATCCATTACCAAATACCTTTCCTCATCAGCATCACAGCAATGGCTTCCCCCAGGAAGTTGGGCTCCTCTGTGATCTCCTCACTCTGCAGCCCCCACCCCACATAGGAAAAGGAGAAGACTAATCAAATGACTTTGGGCCTTATCAACCCTCAGGAAATAGAGAAGCCGGGAGGGAGCTCCTCCCCATTGTTCTGCTCAGTTTGGGCTAACTCCTTCAGAAGTGTCTTTCCTTGCCTGCCAAGAAATTTTGTCTTGTTGGAGTTCATCTTTCCACTTCTCAGATTCTTCCTTGTTCTTCCTCAGCTTGTCCAGAGCTGCCAGGAGCTTGTTCTGTGAATAAGGAAGGAACCACGGCAGAGTCACTGTCTGAACTTTCTCAGCCTCTCCACAAGGGATAACATGGAAGAAATCAGGAAGAGAGTCCAGTTTACAGAAAGGATGAGAACTGTAATTAACTTCTAGCAGTTGGAAGAAAAACTGAGGTGGCAAAAGTCTTCTTGAAGTCTGTCTCAGGTAATAACATAACAATCCTCTTATTAACAACAGAATGGTTCTTTCTGATGGCTTGTTTTGAGCCAGCCCCAAGTTGGCCTCAAACTCTCTTTGTAGCCCAGGCTGACCTAAAACTCTGAATCTTCCTGCTTCAGTCTTCCTATGGTGGTAATTCCTACATTAGAGGCATGTACTACCATACCCACTTACACTGATTCTTCATTGTTGTTTTGTTTTGTAACAGTATAGGAACTCGAACTCAGTACCTTTTGCTCTAGCTTAGCTTTCTCCCTGGCCTCCCTGCTCAAAGCTGGTTCTCTAACCACATAAACCACATTTTCACTTCCAGTTACTTGCTGATTCAATGGAACTAAGAGCATTGTGGACATTTTTGCTTAGGCTGACTTGGAATGGTGATTCTCATATTTCAGTCTCCTGAGTAGCTACTATTGTAGGCATGAGCTACCAACACCAGGATAAATGGATACTTTTTATACAGAAGAGAATTCTGGTCCTCACCAGTGAAAATAGTCTACATCTGAATTCATTTCAATTATTGCTTCATTAAAAGGAACATTCTTGGTCAACAAGTTTCAACCCATGGAAGATACAGTAGAGCAATATTTTCTGCTGCCAAGAGTTCATATTTAGGCTCCTTCTCTTGTAAGACAGCAGATTGCACAGACATGTCCTTTAGGCCTGAGAAAGTCTACATGGAGTGGAAAAGAGTCACACATCTCAGTTCTAGGATGGTGATGTATTTAAACTACAATGAATGCTACCCAGTAGAGATTTCCCTTAGGGACTATTCTGTGCTCTGTCTTCCCTCATCCCTGATTCTTACCTGGTGCTCCTGGGCAACCTCTTCCAAGAGGCATGTGTTGTGACCACGGTGCTGCTGAGATCGCTCACAAAGCCAGCAAATCACCTCCTCATCATCCTTACAGAAGAGCTGGAGTTTCTCACCATGCTGTGGACAATGATGCACATTCTGCTCCTTTGAGCTCAACGTGGCTTTCTTGAGACTCTGCACTATGTTGACCATGTGTCGATGAGGTCGTAAGTCCTCAAAGTTGTAAGGGCTTTGACACACAGGACAATTGCTCTCCGATCCTGTGCCCATGTTGAATTTATAGCTTGAGGTGATACAAGCTTGACAGAAGATATGTCCACAGTCTATGCTCATAGGTTCTGTCATGAGCTCCAGGCAGATGGGGCAGGTCACCTCCTCCTTTATGTTGGCCAAGATTGCTGAAGCCATTGATGGCTGTTTCCCTGTTCCTGCAGGTCCTGACTTTTGAGGCTTCTGATGTTCAGATTCCTGCATGACTGGAAAGGTAAAATGGGGGCAAATTAGAGAGACATGCACTCACGGAGGCACCTGGGAAAACAACTCCAGAACCTGTTCTTGTGCCAGTGAACAACAACTCTCAACTGTCCCCAAAACTCACACTGGCAGAGAGCCACACCCCTAGGAGAGGCATGCAGCTAGAAAGAACCTTGGGAAAACGACATCAGGACCCACCCCTACACAGGAAAGAAGGCTGAAAACCATAACATTCTCCATTCCAGTATCTGTGATGGGAAAGATGCATCTAGCTCCATTAACAACTCTAATCAAATTACAACTCAGAACTGAGGCTCTTTCTCTAAAACAGTCCTAACTCAGGCTATTGCCATAGAAACTGCGGTATGGAACAGCCCTGATCTCTGACAACACAGCAGAGAGGCACTCCTCCCCCTCCCTCCTTTTTGAACATAGTTTATTTTTTCTCTCTCTTTTTCTTCTTTCTCTTCATTCATTTTTAGAGAACATAAATCTCCAAGTTGAATGTTCTGGGTCTACTGATAGGATGATTTGAAATATGTATTTATGCAATTTATAATGTGTTATTTGCAATATACCCATGTAATATCCTACTTTTCCTTATGTCACCTCTCTCTTTTCAAAAGTAGAGCTTACATTTGACAGGAGGTAGCAATTACCTTAGGCCTTCTACAGAAGACACTATCAGGGTGCCTTCTCTTTACTTGACTCCTTTCTTCTACAACATAGACTACAAGGGGTATTTTGTTTCTTCTTTTCTCCTTCCTTTCCCTTTGTTTTATTTTTTCTTCTTCTTCTCCTTCCTCTCCCTCATTTATATCCTCCACCACATTCATTCTCTCTCTTGCTCTTGTCTTTTCTCCTCTCACTCCCCTAAAACTAGTACCCCTCTCATTCAAATACACCCTGGAAAACTAGCCCTCCCCATCCTAACCTTACCTTACAATCTCAATGCTTTCATCTGAGAGTCAAACATAACAGTACAATTCCACAACACAACTGAGTCCTACATCTCCACTGAATGATCCCTATAAGCCCTGAACCCAGATAAGTAAATCTCAATAAAGGGACAGAACTCTAGCTGCCTAGTCATCCGAGAACACAAGGAAGAGCTTATTTAGAAGATCATAGATTCCCAAAAGATAACACCAAAAGGTTCTTCAAATGGACAGAAGACACCACAGAAATACTAGAAATATGCAAATCCAAGGAAATACAATGATCACTCCAAACAGAGCAGGGAAATAGGGCCCTAGAAGACATTTCACAAAATGCACTAAAAGCATTGCTGATAAATTTAATTAATGAATTTTTTTTTCTTTTTTGTTGGTTGTGGAGCTTGAACTCTGTGCTTGGGCGCTGTCCTTGAGTTCTTCAGCTCAAGGTGAGCGCTCTATTGCTTGAGCCACAGAGCCACTTCCGGTTTTCTAGTGGTTTATTGGAGATAACAGTCTCACGGACTTTCCTGCCCAGGCTGGCTTTGAACCGCGACCCTCAGCTCTCAGCCTCCTGAGTAGCTAGGATTGCAGGCGTGAGCCACCAGTACCTGGCAATGAATAATTTGAAATTATATATAAGACAATTCGTGAGCATTGTGGTCTCTATGAATTCTTCCATTATTCTTTTACCCTCATAAACAAAAAGCGAAATCAAGTTCAAGAAATGTCAAAGGAGTTCAGTGAGAAAGTAGCCACCCAGTTAAAGGAGATTAAGAAAAATACAAACAAATTAGTGATGTAAAGAGGTCCTTAAAAATCCTAAAACAAGACTTCAATAAAGAGATAGAAACCCTCAGAAAAGACCAAACAGAAATCAGAGAATTAAACAATGAAGTAAAAAGCTTCTGTGGCCGAATAGATAAAGTAGAAGGCAAAAATCTTAGATCCAGAAGACAGAACAGATCAAATTGAATGACAGGCAGTTATTATATAATAAAAACCCAAGAAACAAGAAAGAAGCCTTCACGAATTATGAGACTCAATCAAAGATCCAACTTAAGCCTAATAGGTATTCAGGAATGGAAAGAGGAGATAGTCAAGAGGATGGGAAACATATTTCACAGAATCCTAGCAGAGAACTTCCTAAATGTCCGAAAAGAAAGGCCTGTTCAGATACAAGAAGCATTTAAGACACCCAACATCACGGATCAGAGCAGAACATCCTACTGCCACATTATAATTCACATGGGATCAATAGAGAGACCAAGCAAAGGATCCTAAAAGCTGTCAGAGAGCTTGATTACCAAGGAACAACAGTCCAAATAAACACAGACTTCTCAGCTGAGACCATGAAAGCAAGAAGAGCCTGGTATGATGTATTCCAAACCCTAAAATCAAACAATGATTAACCCAGCATACTGCACCAGTGAAGTGCTCCTTCATAACTGAAGGACAAATGAAAACATGCTATAACAAAGATTAAGACAATTTATATCCACCAAGCCAGCATGCCAAAAAATATTTAAAGATATCCTTCATATAATAAATCAACAAGGATGCAATGTTGGCAGAGAAAATGTCCCTTACCAGAGAGCCAGATAAATATAGTAAGAATAGAAGAGTCACAGCCCCTAAAGAAGGAGATCACTGGCAGGCATTACCAGACACCTCTCAATCCTAACCCTCAATATCCATGAACTTAACTTTCCTATTAAAAGACATAGACTGATACTTGGATCCAAGAAAGACTAGACCATCTGTTGTCTACAAGAGACACATCTTGCCAACAAAAGCAGACACAGTCTCAAAGTGAAAGGTTGTAATAAAATCTTTTAAGCAAATGGGCCCAAGGATGCCCACTCTCTCCACTCCTATTCAATATAGTACTGCAATTCCTACCAAGAGCAAGAAGGCAAGAGAATCCCACCTAAGAGATTCTCTCTCTCTCTCCCTCTCTCTCTCTCTCTCTCTTTTCCTGGTCCCAGGGCTTGAACTCAGGGCCTGGATACTATCCCTGAACTTCTTTTGCTCAAGGCTAGCACTCTACCACTGGAGCCACAACACCACTTCCGGCTTTTTCTGTGTATGTGGTACTGAGGAATCGAATCCAGGGCTTCATGCATGCTAGGCAAGAACTCTACCACTGAGCCACCTTCCCAGCCCCTTCCTCCCCGGCTCTCCCCCATCCCCTGCCTCATAAGATTCTTAGGTAATCAAACATCTATTCTTGTCTTTTCTTTCCAAGACCTAAAGCACCAAATAATTTCTTCATGAAGATTTTTACATTTGCACTGCTCTCAGCATGGATTGCTTCCTTTGAATTAGTAAGATTCATTCTGGTATTTTCTCTACAGGTTGTCCTTATGAGAAAGAGCTGTTCTGACTACTTCATCTGGTTTTTAAACAATATCACCAATGGCCAGATGCTTGCAAGGATTTCTTTTCTTACCACTCCATAATCAACAAACATTTCCCTGTCTGCATGCACACAGTATGTTAATTCTTTCTTTAGTTATACAAATAGTGATCATATTTGTTTTAAAAGGTTATCTTCAATATATTGAGCTAGCATGAATTTAATCTGTTCAGGTTCCTCTTTCAGAGATCTATCCTATACCTGTACAGAGTTAATCAAGACAAAAAGATTCAATTTACAAAGACAAAATGAATACCAGAACAACAAAAGTATGGAAGTAGATTCTAAACAGTGGCAGGTACAAGGAATCTGATTTTGTAAATGTTGGTATTTAAGTTGGCCTAGAAACTCAAAGCCCTTGATAGGTTTCAAAAATCATGAATGCATGTGTTTGCTGAGAAGAGATAACACAGATGCATGCATGGAATCACACACAATCGTGTGTGTGTGTGTGTGTGTGTGTGTGTGCTTGTGCTGATCTTGGTGTTTGAACTCAGGGCCTGGGTGTTGTCTTTGAACATTTTGCTCAAAGCTAGTGCTATACCGCTTGAGCCACAGCTCTACTTTCTTTGGGGTAGGGGTTAAGGAGGGATGGAGGTAAGTTTAATGGAAACCAAGAGTCTCATGGACTTTCCTTCCTGGGCTAGCTTTGAACCATGATTCTCAGATCTCAGGCTTCTAAATATTTGAGCCACCCGTGCCTAGAAACATAAGTTTATCTTTTAAAACACACCTTGAACATTTTCCTAGACAGATTATCCATTAGGACACAAATCAAGTCCCACTAAGATCAATAAGACCAAAATGATTTAAAGCATGTTTGCTAATCACACAGTGTGAAACTAGAATTGGACAGTAAGGAAGACTTGGGGGAAACCTCGCAAATATTTGGAAGTTATACAACATTCTCTTGAACCATCAATGACTCAAAACAGAAATAAAAAGGAAATCAGAGCTGACAGCACAAAGCAAAAGCATTAATAAGAGCATTTTTGTTGTTGGTCATGGAGTTTGAACTCTGGGCCTGGGTACTATCCCTCAGCTCTTCAGCTCAAGGGAAACACTCTACTACTTGAGTCACAGTGCCACTTGTTTTGTTTTGTTTTTCTAGTGATTTATTGGAGATAAGAGTCTCACAGACTTTCCTGCCCATTGGCTTTGAACTGTGATCCTCAGATCTCAGCCTCCTAAGTAGCTACGATTACAAGTGTGAGCCACCAGTACTGGACTAACGAGAGCATTTCATAGCAGTAAAGTATTAGACTAAGAAAAGAAGCAGGATATCAGATAAATATCCTAGTTCTAATCCTCTAGAATTAGGAAAGGAAAAAGCTAAATGGAAAGTTAGCAGAAGGAAAAAAATGAACAAATATATATCAAAAGACCACAAAAGAAATTAACCAAAATGTTTATTTTCAAACTAAACAAAATTTTCAATTTTTTAACTAAAACCAAATACTAACCAAAAATACAATAAATTCTAATCAAATAAATACAACAAATTCCAACTAAAATACAAATTAAAAATACTGACATGACTTGAATAAAATCTGAAGCAGAAGTGGACACTTTATAATAAATGCTTCAAGAATTAAAATGGGGGGTTGGGAAGGTGGCTCAGTGGTAGAGTGCTTGCCTTGCATGCATG